GCATCACCAAAAAAGCCTGCAGCAGAAAGGCAGACTGTGACCTCAAACCAACCCAGCTCTAGACCCTCTGCAAGTCTCAGCATTTTTCTCTACAATGCACTGGATCAGTCCTGAATCCAGTCCTTCAGTGCATGTTGAGGTGTTTACCTTTGACAGCTTCTCTCCCATTTTTCAGGGCCTGCTTGCACCCACCCCATGCCCCCTTTCTAGGAGCAGAAAAGTTACTCAGGAAAAGCCCAAACTGGTCATTCAGCCAAGGACAATTGTCCCCTGAACACTCAGACATGCACTGGTGATTGTGCAACAACAGCCACTGGCACTTAATAACAGTAAGTTTAGGAATGCTGGTTAATACTCATGTGGTTATACCTACAAGATGGCACCTGATTTGCACCATCTGCTGTTGCCACATGTAACCACAGACACCCAAGGCCAACAACCCTCTGATGCCACCAGGGCAATAAATGCACCCAAAGCTACCTGTTGTCAGCCAGCCAAGAAAGCAACAACCTTTGGAAAACATATACTATGGTGTCAGGGGAACCCACAAAGCCAGATAGCCATGGGGGAAAAAAAAAAAAAAAAGAAAAGAAAAAAATTTGGAGAGAATACTCAAAGGTCCTCAAATCCAATCTCCCACTTGAAGCAGGACCAGCCCCAGTTAGACTAGGTTGCTCAGAGCTTTGTCCAACTAAGTTGTGAAAATCTCCCAGGCTGAACATTTTAAAATCCCTCTGGATACATGTTCTCGGGCTTTATTGTTCTCATTACCAGCAGTGGTTTTGTTCATGTCCATCTGGAATTTCATTTGCTGCAGGCTGTGGTACTGCCTCTGCTCTTTCCACACAAGCTCCCAGAGTCCTTTCACCTTTACTCACCCACGACAGAAGCATCTTTATCACCAATGAACTTCTCAAACTCAGCCACAGAACTGAGAGCCACCGAAGCAGGTCCCGCCTGTTTCTTGAGATGGCTGACAATTCCATCTTGAAAGATCAGTAAAATAATTAAAGGCATCAATACCATGTTCCACAAGACATTTTTCAAGCTTCCTAAACCAGAAACTGTTTCTGCAGGATCCATACACATCTCCCATACAATAAATATGTGAACTGAAGGACTCCTCCCATCAGCTTCACACAGGAGCTTTCCAGCATCCTGGGAACTAGGGTGTTCACCTTCACCTTTAAAGGAGAGCTTTAAACCTTCACCTTTAAAGGAGAGCTTTAGTGGAAAATAAACATCCCAAGCTTTGCCAGCACAAAGAGTTCTGGAGAGGGTAAGGGGTTGGTGGGGGGTATGTGTAGGTGTGAACCCTCTCTGCATCCCTGGCTGTTACATGCTGCCTCCTGCAGCAGCTCAGCAAACCAGACGCTGCCAAACAGTTCTTACCTGCTGTTCTGGGCCCATCATAGGTCCCTGCCTCTTCTCCATCTCGAAAAATCTTTAATGTGGGATATCCACTGACTCCATACTTGTTACAGGTGTTGGAGTTTGCTGTACAGTCAACCTAAAGGAAAAGAAACCTTGCTACTCGGGCTGAGATCCATCCCTAACACACCCATCCCAGACAAGGGACTGGAGGGATGTGTCACCATGCCTGGTGCTCAACAGCCCAGACTGGGAGAGAGGTGGCACAGGTATAATGAAACACCCGGAAAAATATTTGAGAAAATACTGCAAAGACTAAATAGTTTCAAGTTCCACCAGACTACACACCAAAAAAAAAAAAATACTAGAAAGGATAGTTTCTTGCAATCAATGACATGGAATTTCTCTGCACCTTGTCAGTTCCAAAGTTTATATAACATTTGAAGAAAACAGGCCGACCTGACCAGGAGGCCATGGTGCCAAGAGTCCATGCCACTAAAGGGAGAGAGAGACCCTGATTTGAGAAAACTCTACGAGTTTTGTGCGGAAAAGAAAGCTCCTAGTCAGCATGCCTCAGCGGGTGGGTGCAGCGCGGTGCTCGCTCTCAGCCTCATCGCACAGCTCCGAGCAGGCCCTTTTCCCCGGCCGGGGCAGCCCTCACACACCCTCCGCACACCCACCCCGCGGCCCTGCGGGCATCGCCTTCCACGTCATTTCAGGGCTCCGAGGCACCAAAGAAACGACGTCCGTCAGGCCTGCGGAGCCGGACTCCGCTCGCTGGCCGCTCCCGGGTGTGCCCCACGGCGGGAGCCCGTGCTCACCTTCACGAGAGGCACGATCCCCTTCAGCCGGGTCGCGGCCGACTCGTACTCCGGCGCCAGCCGCTTGCAGTGTCCGCACCTAGGGGCACGGAAGGGAGTCAGACCGGCCCGGTGCCCCTCTCGGCCCGCCCCCCGCCCCCAGCGGCCCCTCACCAGGGCGCGAAGAACTCCACGAGCACCAGCCCCGGGCGCTCGGCCAGGCCGCTCTCGAAATCGGCATCGCTGAGCTCCACCACGTCGGAAGCGCGAGCGCCGAGGGCGAGCAGCAGGAACAGGAGCAGCGAGGCAGGCAGGGCCGGCTGCGGGGGCCGGGGCGCGGACATCGCGGCGGGAGCGGCGGGGCCGGGAGCGGCGGGGCCGGGAGCGGCAGCTGAGGGAGCGCCGGGGCCGCAGCCGGAAGTCCGGCCCCCGCATCCGGATCTGCCGTGTGGCAGCTCCTGATTGGGCGGAACGTCACGGGGCGCGTGCCAGCGGGGGCGGGGCCTGCGCGCGGCCCCGCCCCTCCCATGGCCGCCGGTTGCCGGCGCTGCCCGGGCCGGGGGCGATCCGCGGTGCAGTCCCCGCGGCTCGGCCCTCCCTCTGCCGCGATCCGCCGTGCAGTCCCCTCCCGCCGAGCTGTGTCGCGCCGGCCACAGCGCCTGCCCTTTCCCCGGCCGGGAGCGGGGGCCGCGGAGGCGCCCCGGGCCGCGCGCTGTCGGTCCCCGGGAGCTGTGCCGAGCTGATGGATGTGCGGTAACCCCACCGCGGCCACCGTGTCCGTATGGCGCGGTGCCGGCGCGGCGGTGACACGTGCCCAGCACATGCCGCACGACAGCGCCGGGCTCGCCTGCTGGATTCGCCGCAGCCACGCATTTTCGCCCACCACCCGTCCCGCTCCGGCCCCGGGACGGTCCGGCGTTCTCCTGGCCCCGAGCCAAACCCGGGAGCGGGTCTTCACCCCGTTACTCCATCCGTCGGCATTTGCGCCTTCTGCTGGGGTCTGCGGTCAGAAGGAGCTCGCTCTGTGCCATCCCTGCCAGGGTGCTCGCCCCCGGCTTTGACCAGGCACAGCCTGCTCCCACCCCGCGCACCGCGCCCCGGTGCTGCCGGGGCCTGCGGCTGTCCCCGCACAAACCCCGATTCTCAGCCTCCCAGCGCCACCTCCCTCTGCAGCGCGCCGTCAGCTCGGGTGGGCCTCGGGGGCAATGCATCGACTGGGGAAACGTTCTCCGCTCCTCGTTTCCGCCTCACCATCCGTTTCTCCTTAGAGCCCAAGCGCTCCTGCCCTCGCCTTGTCATCAGGTCCCTACTGCCGACCGCTGAGTTTTAGCAGCTGCTCCCGTACCCCCCGAGCTGATGGCTGCGGCCAGCCCTCATCAGCTCACCCCCGCCCGGGGGCAGCCGCCCGGGCTGCTTCTGGCGGTTTTGTCACCAATACTGGCTGCACCAGCCAGTCGGCCCCCGGGCTGCGGGGAGAACCCGCCTGGCGCCTCCGGCTGCGCCGCCGCCATTGCGGCAAAGCGCCGCGGGGCCGCCAGGGGGCGCTGCCCGCCGCCCCGGCCCGCTCTCCCGGGCGGCGGCGATCGCGGCCCCGGGCGGTGTCCGCAGCCCGTGCCGGGTTGCCGTCATCAGCAATGCATCCTTTGTGGTGGTGGGGCTAGCGCCGGCCTCGGATTAGCGCCCAGAACCGAGGCCGGCGGCAGTCGGCTCCGCCGCGCCGTGGGCGGCCCGCCCGGCGGCAGGAGCGGGGTGAGCAGGCAGGGAGCGGGCAGGGTCCGTGCGGGGAAGCATCAGGTGTGTCACACCTTGTCTCGGCGGTCTGTGGGACGGGGCTCTCTGGGGCTGCCAGTGTCGGAGGAAGGCTGGGAGCCGCAGCGGCGGGGGCTGGAGCCGGGCTCCGGGGCCGTACTGCGGGACCTGCCGGAGCCAGCCCTGCGGCACCTCGTCTGTCTCCCTCTCGCTCCTCCTGCTGCCCACAAGACGCGGGAACGGCTGCTTTCCTTGCCAGCCCGGGGATGCTGCTTCTGCTGGTGCTGCGGGACCCGCAGTGAGCGAGCACGGGCCTCCGGGAGCGCAGCGCCGCGGGGGTTGCGCGCTCGAGGGCCGGTGCTGCTCCCTCAGCTCCCGAGCCGATCCTCGCTACTGCGCGGGCCCAGGGAGCGGCCCCCGGGACTGACACCCGCTCCTGGCACCGGCTGGTGCATGGGCTCTGCTCAGCCACCCGTGGCCGGGAGCGGCCAGCCCCCGGCTGGGGGTCAGAGCTGTGGCTCAGGGCGAAGACTCCCCTTTGTCCCGGTGTCCTTACCCTTGTAGCAAGCCTGCCACCAACCCGCTGTGGGACGTTGAGCAAGGAGCTCTGAGGGAAGGTGTGGAGGATAGCGCAGGCAGTGCAATATTGCTCCTTCCTGCAGCCTTTGCTCCAGGACCTGCTCCAGGACAGCGAGGGTGCTCCTGCCTTCGAGATCCTGCACTGCCCATCCTGGATAGGCTGGCTGCAGCCCATCCAGGATCCTGAGGAGCATGGGCCCCACTGGCTCCTGCTCTCCCACTGCCTGGGTGCTCAAGACACATTTCCCACAGGAGTATCTTCATTTTCCAGAGTGTGCTGCTCAGTGTGGGACCTGAGGCCATGCAGTGCTTCCTGGCCCTGCTGCACTGCTCCTGATACCAGATGGGAGGTGGCTGGGGTGGATGGCATGGGGCAGGGGGTTCAGAGCCCATGTGTGGTGATTGTGAAGCTTTGTGACTGGGGGGAAATCCGAGTGGTGCCTCTGCAGGGGGACAGGGCGCTGGGAGGTCAGTGCGGTAAGAAGAAGCCTGAGCCATGGCTACAGCAGCGCATGTTTATGGGGTCTGACCTGACGCATTGTGGGTTACAGGATGCAGCGACATGCTGGGCACAGAGATCGCACAAGCTACAGGGGGACCTGGGTCCCACAGCGCTGGCGCTGCCGTGGCCGCGCTCAGTGCCGGAATTGCTGCAGCGGCGAGGGGATGCGGATATCCTGCCCCTTCTCCAGCCGCCGCTCACAGTCGATCAGGTAGTTCACACCATCGATCACCAGCTGCACCAGTTCCACCTGCACCAGGAGCACAGATGTGGTGACTGAGGGACTGTCCTGGGAGCCACACCACTTGGCCACTCCTGCTGCATGCAGGGTAGGCACTGCCACTGCCAGCACCCGCATGCTGGCCCCAGCACACAGCCCTGGGGCTGCATGGGCACTGTGGGCCCATGTGTCTGTCATGCAAACACATTCCAGAACCTCCCTCCCCAGCTCTGTCCGGCACCCACCTCTGACTTCCCCAGACGATCCAGGTTGGAGATGTCAAAGACGCCGCCTTTGGCTGCAGTGTCCACACCACCTGTCCCACGTTTCTGTAGCCGCAGGTTCTCTAGGATCTTAGGGAAGCGGCTGTCCTGGTGCCCAGAGAAAGTGTCAGTGCTCAGCAGGACCAACAACAAGGGAGTCAGGGCTCTGTAGCCAAATGCTCCCTGGTGCAGGCTCCTGCTGCTCACAGGGTCCTGTCAGTGGGTCACCAGCCCTACCCAGAGTCCTGCCATAAGCAGACCCAGGCTGACACCTGGGACTCGGGCCTCTCTGGCCAGGAATGCAGGCAGGGGCTGGACCCTATGCCTCCTAGGGGAACCTGAACATGGCCCAGGGCTGGGTCTCATGTCGTGCTGCACCTTTGTGGCTGAGCTCCCCACAGTCCTAGCCTGGCTCACCACAAACCTGTCCATGGTAATACCTTGCTGAGCAGTGGCAGCTTGATGTGGACGCCTGCTCGCAGCCCTGTGCCCAGGTTAGAGGGGCAGGTCAGGATGTAACCCAGCCGCTCATTCCACATGAACTCCCAGCCTCGTTCCTGGATTAGCCGCTCCACCTGAGTTAGAGGCACAAGCAGTCGTTCAGCCCTGGGCAAGGAGCACCCAGCAGAGGCCAGCACCACAGGAGCCCTGCGTGCCCCTCTTTGCCTGTTTATGGGGCTGGCACAGCAGAAGCTGTTGGACACTCACCTCCTTTAGGCCCCGGCAGAACCGCTCAAAAACGCGCTTCATGTTGCCCCCCTTCTCCATGGAGATGACACGTGTGTGGTCCTCCTCATTGATCCAGATCAAGAAGGTCTTCTGGTGGTTGTGCCTAGGGACAGGGCAGTGTTTGGCTGTGCTGCCAGCTTGCAGAGACCCTCTGCCCACTCAACCGTGCCCCTTCTGCCCCTGCCACCATGCTACCAGTGCTGCCCTTGCTTCCCATGTGCTGACTGCAGCAGGGTGGGTAGCCAGGGGATGCTCCTCCAGATGGGCCAGTGCCCATCCACATGTATCACTGCTGGCTATGGGAGCTGTCTCCAGTGCCTTGGGCACAGGCAGGTGCCAGCATGGTGGTGACCCAGCCTGGAATGGGGATGGGAGCATGGCTCCTGCACTGTGCAGGCAGTGGGAGGCGGCTTGCGAGGCATGGAGTGTGCACCGGAGGGCTGGGTTAGGTGCAGCTGGAGCTGGGGACATGTGTGCCCTGGAGATGTTTTCCATGTAAAGGCACAGAGTCAGTGTGGGTGGCATGGGCGGACAAGTGTGCCGGCTGTTGCTCTGCAGGAGTGTGGGATGTCGCATGGCTGTGCAAAGATGCTGGGAGGGAGCAGTAAGATGTGACTGTGGCACGGTGTAGATTTGGTGTCACATAGAGTGTGCAGAAGCCAGGAGGAGTGCTGGGGATTGCCCAGGGAGCAGAAGGCAATTAGAGGTTTTTGGCAGCCTTAGAGTGCAAGGTGCTGCAGGATGGTGAGAGCAGGCAGGATTGACAGCTGGTACAGGCTCCACAGTCCCTCTTGCCAGTACTGTGCTGTGCTTGCATAGGGAACAGTAGACTGCTGACAGTGATGCACAAGGAGCTCCCAGGTGAGGCCACAGAACCCATGGTGAGCACAGCCCAGGGGCACTGGTGCCACGTGCTAGGGTCTGTGGCGCAGCAAACACGGGAAATGTGGGTGGCAGGGCTGAGATGGATGGAGCAGTACGTCCCCCCCATTTCTGCCCTGCTGCCCAGTGCCAGGGCAGAACCTCACCAGATCCCTCGTGCGTCAGGCCAGTCCCGAGCCATTCCTGCTGCTGTCAGGAGCGGGGACACCGGCTTGTCAAAGAGGAAGTGGTCCTGGAGGGAGGCAGAGTTCATGGGCTCACCCAGGCTGCATGGCTGGAGCCAGGGCACCCTCACTCATTCCAGTACTCCCTGTCTCACTGGTCCCACCTGCCATGCAGGAGATTCACCACGGTTCTCCCAGGCAGGGAATCCATGGGCATCCCTTGCCTTCCTGGCCTGGGAGGCAGAAGGTTGCTGGTGCACAACCCACCCTAGGGGTGCTAGGGGCTGGTGGGGCATGAGCTGAGTGCAACAAGCCTGCCTTCCTCTGGGCATGGGCAGGGAGATGGGGGCTAGAGTCAGAGGTGGCCATGAGCTGCTGGGGCTGAGTTTGGAGAGCTCCTGGCTCATGAGGGCTGAGCAGCACTGTGCTGTTGGGCTGCCTTTCTAGGGCAGGGCTCCCGGTTGAAGGCAGCAGAGCTGTAAAAAGAGGGTGCAAGCTCCCCGAGAGGCAGTGCCAGGAAGGAGTCCTGCTCTGCGTGCGCCCGGCGGGGAGGTCGGGAGCTGCGCTGACTCACGTCAATGAGCTGCTGCTGCTCGCTCTCGGTCATCTCGCTGAGGCGGTAGTACCGGCCCGCCAGGTCCCCGGTGAGGCCGCTCAGCGCGTCCACGGCCACCTTCTCCACCTCTCGTCTCTCGGCGCGCGTGCAGGCTGGCGGCAGGCTCAGGCCACGGATGCTGCGCCCAGTCCGGACCCGGGACGAGAGCACATAGCGCTCATCAAACTGGCCAAACTTGATCTGGAACAGACAGGAGCCACGGGATGTTCATGGGGTGGCCCTGGGGCTGTCAGGGCCCTGCCCCAAGGCCCAAGGAAGGACACCCGCGTGCGGCACCACTGTCCAGCTTCTGCACCTTTGTGCAATCCAGGTCTGTGACGTGCTTCATGGTGCGGGGGTTGTATCCATTGTGCCGCTCCTGAATCACGGGGTCAAACAGGTCGGCAAACACCTGGAAGCAAGTGGGACAATGTAGAGCAAACCCAGGGCTTCATGAAGCTCCTGCCACAAGCCTGGCAGGGCCACACTGCCGGTGTGGGGGACAGTGTGTCCTGCAGTGCAACAGCAATCCACAGGGCAAGTGGAGCGGGAGGCTGCAGGGCTCCAGCAACAGCTGCTCCAAAAGTGCCCTGTGTCCTGCAGGAGCACAAGGAGACTTTCCAGGGGCCTCTCCAGCTGCTCAGATTGGGCAAGAGGAGGTGGGCAGTAATGACCCAGGCTGCTGGTGGTACCATGGCTACTGGGATTCCTCTGGATGCTGCAGGCAAGGCTCTGGCTGCCACTCACCTCATAGGTCTCTTCATCACCAGCTACGATGCCCACAGTCTTGATGAAGGGATGGCCAGGGTTGTCCACACCAGTCTGAATGCACTGGTCCAAGGTCCAGCCATTTGGGGTTGCCTTGTCACAGAGCCTGGCGTAGATGGCTGGCGTCAGGTTGCTGGCCATGCAGTTGTTGTGCTTTCGCAGGTCGGGGTACTCAGCACTGTGGGAGGAGGCACCAATGAGTTGTATGGGGCCAGGGGACCCCAGCACTTGTGCCTGTGCTCCACAGAGACTCTTGGCGCAGGTATGGGCAGGGGAGCTCAGGGAGGGGTCAAATACTCTGCTTATCCACAGCAACTGGGAGCAGGGAGGCAGTTACAGGCCTTGCAGGGCAAGGGCAGGGAGAGCCCAAGCCCAGGGCTGGCACTGAACCAAGACAAGAGTCCACAGGCAAATCTGGAGCAGTCCTTAGGGAGTGGCTCCTTATCAAACACACAGCAGGGCCCCAGAGTGGGAGAACCTGCCGGGTGAGCAGTGGGGCCACGTGAGCCCATCCCCACACTGAGCTGCCAGGGCAGCTGGGCTGCAGAGTGGGGGTCCCACTCCCCTTGTCCTCCCTGAGGCTGCCCTAATGCCAGCTCAAATGGAAGGGGGCTGCTCCTTGTCTGCTGATGCAGTGGGTAGGGGAGGCAGGACATGCAGTCTGCAGGGTCCTGGCTTGCTTGACCCCTGGACCCCTGCACCTCTGCCCTCCGCATGCTGTGGGGCAGGAGATTGACTGACCCTGATCTGCAGCCAGTGGGAACAGCACAGTCCCAGCGCAGTTTATTGTATTAGGGGGATGTTTTCCTCTAATCAGCTTAGAGGGAGGCTGTCTCTTGACCTCATTCCCACTTTAGACAGGCTTTGTACTTGTTCTGCACTCACAGGGAAATTGGCAGGGCAGGACCCACTTGCCTTGGCCAAATCTCTCTTGAGGGTGCCTCCACTCACCTCAGTGGGATGGGACTGGCCCTTGTCAGCCCAGGAGACCACACTGGTGGCTGGAGGGGGTCATGCATTCCTGGGGACACCCTTCTGAGAGAGGCCTGCTTTGGGGGTGACATAGCTTGGGGTGGGGGTCCACGTGGGAGGAAAGGTGCCTGGGCTAGCACAGGTCTGGTTGTTGGGAGCAAGTCAGACATCAGCACTAGACGCAAGTCCTGGCACCCCCTGTGCTCAGCTCTTGGTCTGAGTGCTCACACTGGGCATTGGTTCTGGCTGCCAGCACCAATCCTGTGCTGCAATGCAGAGCCCTGTGGCTGCCACTGCCTCCTCCCCTGTGTCTGCAGGCCAAGGAATGTGGCCCTTCGCCCACAGCTTGGCTACTGCTCATGGCTTCCTGTGCTGTGCAGAAACAAAGGGAGGCAGGGCTCCCATTGCATCGTGTGGGGAAGCATTAGCACTGCTGCCTGGACCAGCAGAAGGAGGCATTTTCTCCAGACAAGAACTGGTCCCAGCGTTGAGGAGGCTGACGGCTGCTCCCAACCCACACACAGACCTGTGCCCTGATGAGATGATCCAGCTAAGAGGCTGACGTGGCATGCATGGGATGCAGCCTGCCCTGGCCTCCCTCAGTGCTTCTGCCCCTGTCATCTGCTGGCCACTGTCTCCCCAGGGTGACACACTTGTAAAAAGCATTTGCTGATCAGAATGGGACACTTGGACAGGTTCCCCCACTGCTCAAGCATGGTCATGCTGCTGGGCATGCCGAGACACTTGCTGTGCTTTCTGTGTGACAGAGAATGCCCAGGAGCAGAAGAGGTTCCCAAGGAAAGCCAGCTTACTCCCAGCAGGCAGGAGACTGCTATGGGTTGAAGCATGCTGTCTGCCACAGCTGTCTACACCTTCCCTGAGGTGTTCAGCATCCAAACCCTGAGACTCCAGGCTCCTGCCTGCAGGTGCTGTGCCTACTGCAGTGCTGCCTGAGCACCTGGCTGGAGTGCACCCACCCCAAACAGCCCCAGACCACAGCCAGCAAATTGGGGCAACCTCTCTACAGCCTTTCCAGAGCACCTGAACTCGGATGGATGTTGCCAGAACCAGCTGGGTAATGCTGGGGTGAAGGTCCTGAGCCCCTGGCACTGTACTCACTGTGGTGCCAGGGAGCTTCTGGGGAGGCTGTGTCCAGGCTGGCACTGGAGGGCTCTGGCAGTAGCACCACACTCCCACCATGTGCTCAGGGTGTCCGGGAGTTCTCTTGTCATAGTGTCAAGGTGATGCTACACCTGGGCTGCTTTGACCCCTTGGTTTTAAAATTATGGCCACTTCAGCACCATCTATTTTGTTCCCACAAAATTTTTTTTTTGTGCCACAGCTCCGAGTGATATCTTAAAAGTCTTTTCCAACCTCAATGATTCCATGATTGCACGGTGCTGTGGTATTGTGTGCTCCTGCCCAGCTGCAGAGGCTGGAAGTGTGGCTGTCTGCCAGGAGTGCAACTCAGCACTGGCGCCCACGCTGTCCTGTGCTCACCTCAGCCTGCCATCCTGCCCACGACCTTGGGCTGCAGCTGCCCTCTCTGCCCTTGAGCAAAGCAGGTGCCTGACCCCATCAGCAGCCAGCAGGGATAATGACTCCACTGTCTACTGACTGGGCAGCTTCTCCAGAACTGACAGCCACCTGCACCTCCCCACAGCTCTTCACCTCCAATGTGGCAGCCTCCAATGCCCTTCCTGGCATCACTGGCCTGAGGTGCCCAGGCAGTCCCAGCCACACATGGCCTCTGGAGAGGTGTGGGTGAGCAGCAGACCCTGTGTCATGGCATGGAACTGGGAGCTGGCAGGCAGCCAAGCACGAGGCTTGCTTAGGCATGGAGGAAGGGGCTTGGGCTTTGTCTGGAGAGGCTTTGGCAGGGATCCCCAACATGGTGGCCCAAAAGTGGTGCCATGCCTGTCACAGGACCCCCCTGGCAGAAGGCACAGGGTGCCCATGTCTCCTTGAGGCTGGGAGTGCCTGTGCCCTTCCAGCATGGCCATTCATACTACAGTGCCTCTGAAAGGAGGCTGTAGAGTGTTGCTCAGACCTCTCAGGGCTGCTGCCAATGTCTCTCGGTTTTTAACTTAGAGACTAGAGGGACAAAATCCTCGGGTGAGTCAGCTACAGAGTGAGGGATTGAAGCTCATCCCTAGGGCTCCACCCAGGTTCTTTTCAAGTGTCAGCATCGTCACAAACCCATTCCCAACTGAACAGAACCCCCCAGGAGGCTCATTTTAGAGCCTCATTCTCAGCCACAGCCTCACCTTGACTTCATCCCCTCCTGACCTGATGTCTATGTCTCTGCAGTTGTTCAGAAAGACATCCCCCTCTTGGGAGGTAAACAATCAATAACATCCGGCCTTTGTAATTCTATTAACTCAATCAATTTCTCTCCCCGACTTTCTGTAGCCCAGCGCAGCTTGCCAGAGCCCCAGTGCCAGCTCCTTGTGAGCCCTCCACATGCCCAGGGTTCCCAGTCTGCAATGCAGCACCACAACACACCGCTCTGACTGTCGGCATTTGGTGCAGGGATGGCAGCAGCTGCTGGTGTTCCGAGCAGCAACGTGCTGCCTCCTTCCCACCCTGCTCCTTCCCTGTGCAGCCTCTGCTGGCATTGGGATGGGCAGGAAAACTCAGTCCGTTTTCCTGGCCCGCCTCTAGGATGTGCTAAACCAAGCAGCTGTTGCCAGCATAAGGACTGCCTGGTGGCCACCACATCCCTCTCCCCTCGTGGCCCTCGCCCCATTCCCACTCTGCCCAGCTCTTGTGAGACACAGGTAGCCACCGTGTTCAGTCCAGTCGGCGCCGTGCCGCTCTGTGGTGCTCAGGGCTGGCAGCACAAACACTGGGCAGGACCTGCCTCTGTCTCCTCCACCCCGCTTGCCATGGCAAGCAATGGTGAGTGGAACAACAGTAATGTGAGGCACTTGGCCCTGCTGGCCCAGCTGGGCTTCCTGGGGCACCCAAGAGCCGTTTGGAGGGGAGTGATGTGAGAGCTGCTGGTCTAGAGCTTGAACCTTAGCATTGTGCTGCAGCTGTAACACTTATCTGGCTTAAGGGATCAGGTGCCGGGTGTGCAAATAGGGCCAGGGCTCTTGCAGAGCCAGCATTACCTCAAAAGCACCCCTAAGCCAGCCTGTGGCCGTGTATGCACCCACTTGGCCCAGCTCAACTCTGCGCCCACCTCCCAGAAGTCCTGACTGCACATCTCATTGTCATCCAAAATCCACCCATGGGGCTGTTTGCTCAGCATCCACAGGCCCCTCCATCTCTCCCTTTAAAAACTGGCCCAGAAAGGGAAGAGCCAGGACCTGCCAACAAAGCTTTTCTTTTCAATAGAGGAGTCCCTGTCCCAAAGGCAGGCGCGTGGGAAGGCTGGTACAGCCAGATGAGGTCGGGCCAGGGGCTGCTCTGACACCAGCTCCCACAGTCAGAGATCCTCGGTGTTCTGCCAGCAGGACAAAATGGACCCTTTGCTCCATCCTGTTCCTACCAGGACATTGGCAAAGTCTCCCTAGCTTCTCTTGGGCCCAGCCTGGGGTATGTCCCCACTGGCACGGGCAGTCCCAGCACTGCTGTCTCCCAAACAGCCCCAATCTCTGCCCTCCCAGTCATCCCGGGAAGTCCCCCGGGACCCCAATCCTACTCTCAAGCATTTGTACCCTCCTGCTCTCACATGTCCCCGGCTGCAGAGGCTTGTCCTGGAACTCTGGGACCACCCAGGGCAGCTGGCAGCTCCGGGCTCCCTGCCCGGACCGCAGCGCCCGGAGCCAACCCCCGGACACGGGAATGTGCCCGCGTTGGCCCCCGCAGCCCTCACAGCCCCTGCCAGCGCGGGTCCCGTGAACGGGGCCCGCGGCAACCCCGGCGAACCCCGGAGAGCCGGGACCGCGCTCTCTGGTCCCTGCGGGACCGCACCCGGGCCGCGGCTGTGCCGGTGTCCTTGTGCGCGGGGCCGGCGGGGCCGGTGACCGGCAGCCCGAGGCGGGGCCGATCCATCCAACACGGCTGAGCCCCCGCGGCCGCTCCGTCCCCCTCGTGGCCCGGGGCCCCGGGGCTGGACGAGCTTGGTGCAGGGCCTCCCGGTGCTTCCCGCCATGGACGAGCAGCGTCCATCGCGCCGTCCCCACGAGCTGCTCCGGGGCCCCCCGCCCGTGCGCCCTCGCCGCCCGCGCACATTACCTGGGCGGGTATCGCCGACGCTGACGCTCGCCCGCGCTGACCGAGTCCCGGGCGAGTAGGAAGCCGGCGGCGAGAGAGCCGGCGCCCACCATGGCCAGGAGGCCGGCGGAGCGGCGAGCGGAGAGAGCGCGGGCGAAGGTGCTGGCCATGTCGGAGCGGCGGAGCAAGCGCGCCGGGGCGGGCAGCGGACGTGAGGGGAATCGGAACGGGAATGGGAATGGGAACGGGAACGGCGGCGGGGGGCGGGGAGCCGGCGGGGCACGGGGGGGCCTGGCGGCACCGCCACCTGCTTGGCTGCCCCGCCCCGCCCCGCCCCACCCAGCCTCCGCCGCTTTCAGCACCGCTCGCCGGACAGCGCCGGAGGGGCGGCTGCGCCGGGACGGGCGGGCTCCGCACCGGGACCCACTCCTCGGAGCCCCCCGCCGCGCCCTGGGGCGGGCGGGCGCGGCCCGGTCAAAGTTCGTCCACCTGAAGCCGAGAGCGGCGACCGCGGCTGCTCGACGGGATGCGGCCCGCGATGGGTCGCGGGGTCGGGGGCCTGTTCTCGGCGGTCACCAGCCCTCCCGCAGTGCCCGCCACACCAAGGGGGCCGCACCGGTGCGCCAGGAAGTGCGCCGCGCTCGCTACCGCAGACCCCCGAGGGACGGGAGCTGCTGGCGCAGAGCTGCGTTGCTCTGGGACACGGGAAGCGGCCGCCCAGTAGAACCGCGCGCCCAGCCCGCTACGGCCGCTACGGGCGCGTGTCGCTCCCGGTGCAGCCGCGCGCGGCCCGCGCTGCCGGACCCGCCGCCAGGGGCCGCCACGCCGTGCCCGCTCGCGTCCCGGCGGGCCCCGCCTCCTCCGCGCCGATTGGCTGCCTACGGCCGTCATCAGACGGTGATTGGCCGGCGGCAGCGCCCGCAGCGCAGGGTGCGCTCGGAGGCCGCAGGTGAGCGGAGCGAAATGGCGGCGCCTGGCGTGGCGCCCCCTGCTGCCGCCGGGGGGGCAGGGGCGGCCGAGGGGCCAGGGCCGGACCGGGCCGGGTCGGGAAGCGAAGCCAAGCGCAAGGCGGGGAGGGGTAGGGCGGCCGACCGCGCCGCTGCTGGGCCCTGTGTCGGCGGCTGTCGGGGAGCGCCAGGTGGGCAGCAGCGGCGGCGCCACGGCGCCCTCCGGGCAGCGCCGCCTCGCCCTTGGCGGGCTGCTTGAGGGCGCGCCGCCGGCCCGGCCGGTGCTGGCCCTGCCTGTGCCTCTGCCCCGCTCTCCGGGGCCGCCGGCTCTCCCGAGCCCGGCGGGCCGGTGTTTGTGAAGCCGCCGCGGTGTGCGCGGGGTGGAGCGGCAGCGGCCCCCCAGTAAACCCTCAGGGACAGCGGCCGTGGCGGAGGAGTTCCGTGCTGAGGAGTCTGGCTCAGTGCTGCGTTACGAGCAGTGTCGGCCGGGGGTCTCTCCGCCTGCGCGCACCCCGCGCGGTGCAGAGGGGGCTGCCGCGATGCTCCGCTCCGCTCCGCCCTCCGCGCTGCCGCTCTCGCGGCGCTCGGCCCCCGACAGCGCTGCTGCCGCTGCAGCCTCCGGCTGAGAGCGCCGCGAACGCCTGTGCTACCGCAACAGAGGGATTTCTCTGATACGCCATGTCCTGATAATTTCAATTATTAACCCCAGAATAGGTGATGTTGCTGTGCTGAAGCAGTTAAGCGCCCATGAGAGGAGCACAGCTTTCACCATTTTAAAGTATGGAATTAACCTTGATGCACACAGCCCTTGTAGCAGTGGAAGTAACTCTCCGTGTGTCACTGGTCATGCAGAGTGTGTTAGTGGTCATGCTTGCAAAGGTACGTCACTGCTCAGGGCCTAAGCTTTCAGGGTTGTTTTTTTTTGGACTGGTTTGTTGGTTGTAGGGCCACCAGCGATTTCAGATAGTTCTACAAGACATTGGCAGCATAAGTGTTTTAAAATGCCAGCTGTGTGTATTTTTAGAAGTCGTGATCCTGCACGCACTTGACCTGGCTTGGCTGGGCTGTGGGTCTCTAAGTTGGATCACGCTTGCAGGCTTTCTGCTTGCCGGGGTAATCCCAAATTCCTGCCACTGGCTATATAAGCCTTGCTCCTGTCCGTCAGCCCGGCACTACAGAGACTGCACCTGCATCTGCACCTTTTGTTTAAAAACTGAAATTAAACAAAACCCTGACATGCAAGCCCACTCTTTGGTTGGTTAATGCCTCATTGAGTACAAACTTAATGCAAGAGCTAATCACATCTTCACACCTTAAATGTCTGGTACCTCAGAAGGAGGGCACGAAGAATTTCTTTACTTTGTGAGCACCCTTATCTGAACAGCACCAGAATGATATGCTGGGAAACCGGAAAACCATTTCCTATATAGTTTCTTATCTCTAATACAGGGCAATCTAGGGAGCTGAAACAGTCCCAGGCCATCAGAGATAAGGACTGTGGCTCCATTTAGGGTTGTGTGTCAGCAGATTTGGATTGCTGCTGGGGTAATTTTGGTAACCTTTGGTATGACTGTGCAGCAGATCACAGCTGCCCCTCCTGGAAGTGCAGCAGGAAAGTCTTCAGCTGCAGTGGCTGGCATGTACTTCCTGTATCTGACAGGACTACCAAGCCTGAGTATTCTGACTCGAAGCCAGAATGATCCTTACCTTTTGTGTGCATGTGCCAGAGCCACATAAAGTCCTCTTGTCTCCGTGGATGACACAGACAGCAGCATTAACTCAACTCTGAATTTTCTTGCTGTGATTAGTGAGAGGTGAGGCCCATAGCACTCTCAGCAACTGTGAACTGGGCAAAATGTGTGGTTTCCATGAGCAGTTAGCTCAGCAGTCAGCAGGGACAGAATCATCAGCATGCTGTGGTTGGTGTGGAAAGTGTGGGCTGTGTGCTGTGCAGGAGCCTGCAAGGGTCCCATGATGGCAATTGCCACCTTCCTAGCATATGAGCTCCGTGCCAGTTCAACGCTAGAGCTGGCTCAGGTGTGGTGGGCAAACTTCCTGTCACTGTCCTTAGATACCAGAAGAGAACTACACTTGCCTGTGTCCACTTAAGAGAAACAGTCTGAGTTTTTAATGCCTTAGTTACGGCTGTAGCTAAAAGTTCTGTTCATCAAGAGTCTGTAGTTGCTTGGTATAAGTTTATGGTAAGGGATCTGCTTTTAAGAAAAACTAGAAGAAGGTTCTGGCTAACCCTCGCCCCACACCTGAAATCATGAGGCTTTCCTTATTAAAATCATGGGCACACCTGTGCTATCAGTGGCTGTCAGCTTCAGTGAGGCTCTGAGTTTTTACCTGATGTAAATATGGTGTGTCATGGCCTTAAAACAGAGCTATAGAGCAAGGAAGAGGCTTTGTCTCTGGAATAGGAGGAGGAAAATAGAGAAGTTACTGCTTTCTGAGTTCTTGGGGCAAAGGTTTTCCTGTTGCTTATCTGCTTTTTTTCTAGGAGGGAGGGGAGAGTAAGGGATTGGAGAAAATAACCCTCTCCTCCTTTTGCATGGTTTGTTTCACTTCATTAAATCATCAGCCTTCCAGCTGATAGTACAGCTGCTAAGGGTTCATTCTGCACTGATGTGCTGAGGCAGCAGGACACAGGCATGAAAATGGTTCCTGAGTATGTTGGGAATGCTACTCTTGTCCTCCTCTGGAGATAGCAGGGCTATGTGGAGCACACACTAAATACCTCTACAGCCTGGTCTGCCAGCACTGTTTCTCCCATTAGGAACAGTGGCAGCGAGCACTGGTGGTGAGTATCAGCTCTGACTCGTGCTGACTGAAACGTTTCAGTGCCAGATGTGTGCTGTGCTTGGAGGATTTTGTGGCAGTAGCAGCAGCACTGGGCTTGGTGCATGGGACTGAAATGGAGGAGATCATCCTTGGTGTGGTATGTACAAAGTCCAGGCTTGCTGTGTCCCCTGTGTGGTTTCTGTTGGATTGATGTCCACTCCCCCAGTGGATCCTTATGCAGGAGGAATGCTTTTGGCTACTTTATAAGGAAAAGCACAGTGAAAGACACCTGCTCCATGCTGTGGGTGGAGCTTAGGTCAATGGTGAACAGCTGTGTCCTTGGCGTGTACAGGTCAGTTGAATGGTGTATTCAGACTCTGTCCCCTCTGAGGCAGGCACTGCTGCTCTTGTAGGTGACAGTGGAGGACATGATTCTTTCCTGGCATTTCTAACTCAGCATATATTCAGCAGCTGGTCAAGGGAGGTGATTGTTCCACTCTGCATTGGTCACAGCACTAAGCCTGTCTAAGTTCAAGAAGCCTGTGGACAATGCTCTCGGGCACACGGTGGAGTTCTTGGGATGTCTGTACAGGGCCAGGAGCTGGGCTCGATGGATTCCAACTTGGTGTATTCTGTGATTCTGTGCCAGCTTGCAAATCCAGATATCCTGACCTGCTTCCCAAACTGTTGCTGATGCTCCCTCTCTGTCCTCTTTCCTTGCCATAGAGTTTTCACTTGTATTTCCTCCCTGCAAACTCCTGCACCTCTCAAACTGTTCTCTCTGTTGCTGTAGGTCTTCTCGAGCTGAAAGGATGAAAATTGGCAATTGGAAAATCACTGTCACTGACCTGAGATTTATCCTGACTTCTGGAGTCCCAGTTGATGTTGTTGGGCATATGAGTCTGCAAGAGTGTCCCTGTCCATGATTTAGACAGCGGTTGGACATGCATCACTGTAAGGATTACATGATTTCAGTGCTGGTGCTGACACTTTCCTAGTGCAAGGGGCTTAATTGCAAAATGGAGCTGCTTATCTAAAATGATCCAGAATTCCGGATCCTCTCCCACCTTGAGTGTTCCCTGTTTTTGTGCTAGGCAGCACTATCCCTGGGTTCCCTCATGCTGAGTCAGTCCCTGCCCTCCCCACCATCATTTGCTTCCATCAAGCAGCTGGCCCTGGGGTCGCCTGCATCTGACCTCTCTCCCTTTTGCACCCTGTAATTCCAGAGCGGGATGGTCGGCCACCAAAGCTGCAATGTCGTCCCTGACGACCTCCAGTGAGGGAGAGAACTCTGCTCCCAGGTTTGTTGTTGGTTCCAGAGATGATGAGACAGAATTTCTGGGATCAAACATGAAGACAGACGAAACTGATTTCTTTGAAGATGATGAAGAGGAGGAGTCGGTAAGGAGGTCCCAGCATTCTGGGCTGCAGCACCTGTGCGGAATCCCTGGTCTCAGCCAGGTTTTGCATGGTTACTGCTGGGGCTGCAGGTAGTTGGGACTGCGGGGGACACAGCACCTGGCTGTATGGCACAGCCATGGGACACAGCAGTGGCATTTAACAGGACATGTTACATCATGCTGCTGTACTCACTGTCCCAGGAAATCCAGCTTTTTTGCTTGCAGATCTGATTCAGGAAAACTGGTGGATTTCTTTGTTCTAGAGACTTAACCTGACACTCCTGTAAGTCTTTCTCTTTCACCAGAGAATTTTTTTGGGAAAACTCTGGTACCTGTGAAAAGGGGCAAAGGTGTCTCTGCAGAGAGGAAACATTCATTTTTTCTGTAACCTCCAGGAACAGAATGCAGAAAAAATTATCTCCAGCTCCTGACTGCTTTTGGCCCCTATTCAGTGTTACATTAAATGCCACTAAACTGATCCCTGTCTTTTCCTCTGTCAGCCTCCAGAACGGCAGATCGTGGTGGGAATCTGTGCCATGACCAAAAAGTCCAAGTCAAAGCCCATGACACAGATTCTGGAACGTCTGTGCAAGTTTGAGTACATCACAGTGGTGATCATGGGGGAAGATGTTATTCTGAACGAA